CCCCCCGCCCCCCCCACCAAGTTTCAGCCCAGCCGGAGATGCTTATAATCACTTAACCCTGCGAGTTCAGATCAGTTCAAAGTGATCCGTGGATTAAGTGGGAACCCAGACGGAGCTTCACGGAACGTTCTGCCAAGAATGCAACAGCATTTGCTGAAAGAAACTCTGCCTCGATCGCTCCGGGAGGGGAGAAAACGCAGGTCTGGCCAAGCACTGGGTGTTCCAGCACACAGGCCATGGGATACACCTTTTTCCTGCGTCTACGACAGGTCAATCTTTGGGGGCTTACATAAGTGTTCTTCCCCTCCCTTTTCCTGTTCATTTGACCCTCTCTTCCTTTCCGTGACCCTAAACGCCTCGCCACCACCCAGATACGCCTGGTTGCTAAAACTCAACTTGCAACTGAGGTCCCAAAGGAAATCTGCTATCCGCATGACTCCAGACTCACCAGACATTAAGGCGGACTCCAAAATAGGCCAATTTGTCTCTGATCCTTTTCCACTCCATCTTGTCTCAGTTGATCTTAAATGCATGTCATTGTTTGTTCCACTGGAAGGAAATTGGACACGTACTCGAAAAAGAAAACTTGTGTGCATTCTCAGTCAGCTGCTCTAGACACAAAAACAACATTGGACGCTTATGTAAAGTTCAACTGGTGGAGTTCAAGTTGCTCTTACCAATTCAAACTTAGCGTGTGTGGGAGTCGTTACAGTCCAGAGCTTTAACTTCCGTATGGTTCGGGCTGGAATCATGTCTGGTGAAATCGAGCTGACCAAGAGGAGGTCTCTGCAAAGTTGAATGTGATTTGTGATAATTGTGAGACCAAGCTCTACGAGCGCGCTCTAATGTCCGTCTGGTGGAGCCTCAAATGGAAGCCAAGTCTGATCTTTTGGCTTTTCAATCATTTGTACTTTCATTGTACAGTGAAACTTCTCTACAACGAAACCTACATGGGCGAAAATACTCCCTAGTGTGAAAAAATCTTCATGCATTAACACCATTCCCACTCTCCTGCCCCTCATACAACGAAAAAAACACCTGTTGCGTGATACGAAATCTTTTTCTCTGCTCTTGCCTCGCGACGAGATTCACTAAAACGAAGTCTAATCCAACAGTGACCTCTACTGCTTCATTCGGAAACGGCAACAGCAACCACCACACTGGTTTACCACATGCGCAGTAGTCCAGGAAGTATTTGTTATTGTTAGTTTCAGACGCAGCAAGAACGTTGCAATTGCTAAAATGACTACAATTCAGCCCAGCCGGAGATGCTTATAATCACTTAACCCTGCGAGTTCAGATCAGTTCAAAGTGATCCGTGGATTAAGTGGGAACCCAGACGGAGCTTCACGGAACGTTCTGCCAAGAATGCAACAGCATTTGCTGAAAGAAACTCTGCCTCGATCGCTCCGGGAGGGGAGAAAACGCAGGTCTGGCCAAGCACCCCCCCACCAAGTTTCAGCCCAGCCGGAGATGCTTATAATCACTTAACCCTGCGAGTTCAGATCAGTTCAAAGTGATCCGTGGATTAAGTGGGAACCCAGACGGAGCTTCACGGAACGTTCTGCCAAGAATGCAACAGCATTTGCTGAAAGAAACTCTGCCTCGATCGCTCCGGGAGGGGAGAAAACGCAGGTCTGGCCAAGCACTGGGTGTTCCAGCACACAGGCCATGGGATACACCTTTTTCCTGCGTCTACGACAGGTCAATCTTTGGGGGCTTACATAAGTGTTCTTCCCCTCCCTTTTCCTGTTCATTTGACCCTCTCTTCCTTTCCGTGACCCTAAACGCCTCGCCACCACCCAGATACGCCTGGTTGCTAAAACTCAACTTGCAACTGAGGTCCCAAATGAAATCTGCTATCCGCATGACTCCAGACTCACCAGACATTAAGGCGGACTCCAAAATAGGCCAATTTGTCTCTGATCCTTTTCCACTCCATCTTGTCTCAGTTGATCTTAAATGCATGTCATTGTTTGTTCCACTGGAAGGAAATTGGACACGTACTCGAAAAAGAAAACTTGTGTGCATTCTCAGTCAGCTGCTCTAGACACAAAAACAACATTGGACGCTTATGTAAAGTTCAACTGGTGGAGTTCAAGTTGCTCTTACCAATTCAAACTTAGCGTGTGTGGGAGTCGTTACAGTCCAGAGCTTTAACTTCCGTATGGTTCGGGCTGGAATCATGTCTGGTGAAATCGAGCTGACCAAGAGGAGGTCTCTGCAAAGTTGAATGTGATTTGTGATAATTGTGAGACCAAGCTCTACGAGCGCGCTCTAATGTCCGTCTGGTGGAGCCTCAAATGGAAGCCAAGTCTGATCTTTTGGCTTTTCAATCATTTGTACTTTCATTGTACAGTGAAACTTC